TGTGCTCATGAGAGGGGCTAGCTGATCGAAAAAATATGTTAAGGAGAGAATCCATGGAGGAATACTTGAGGTGGGAGGAAGAGAGGTTTGAAGAGGTGGTGCGTGCGGCCAAGGGAAGGAGATTGACAGTTAGTGAACGAATGTTCTTGGAAGATTGGTATCGCCGTCAAAACCCTAACAACTGGAAAAGGCCGAGGTACGAAAGGTGGAGACGAGAGTTGTCAACATTCAATGGAGCTGAGCCAGACGCATGGCTCAAGCAAGATCTTGCATATTTCATCCTCGAAGATCTACCAATGAAGGATTGGGTAAAGTATGCATCAAATTATTTTGACGGAGGGGCCGATGTTTGGTGGCGATGGATCTACCACAACCGCCGCGAGCCAACTCGATGGGAAGATTTTAAGAAAGAGCTCGTCGCACGGTTCAACACCCCGATCTATTGCCATTACGATGAGGCTCCCTCGCATAAATGGAAGAAAGGCAGCTTGCCTAATTACCAACGAGAATTCATGGGCCACACCCAAGTCAAGAAGGATATGCGAGCAAGTGGCAAGGCCCAAGGCGAGTCCAAGAAGGAGACGGAGGTCGAATTGGTCGAGCACGATAAGTGCGAGACAAAAATTGCAGTCGAACAAGACACCCACAAAGTCGAGGTGGTTGAAGCTCCAAGGCTCGAAGAGGGTGTGCTCGAGGGAGAGGGTGAAGTTGCGCACATCGAGGTCGTGGCCGAAGGAGCCGAAGTGTTCGATGTCGAGAGCGAGGTCATGGTCGAGGTCGACGAGGACCGTGAGTGGGATGCGTGCGTGATCAATGAAGGAGTCCCCGAAGTTTGGATGGTGGAGGACGAGTCATTGAGGACAATGACATTCTGAAAGGGGGCGGGAATGATACGGAAGTGGGTTTTGAGCCCCGACGACGAGAAGGTCCAAGAGCCGAGAAGGCTTGAGAAGGCCGAGAAAAGGGCCAAAACTACGCATGCATGGCCTAAGCGACGGGTACGAGCGCTAATGCGAGGCGAACGAGCACAAAAAAGGCGGCGCAAGTCAACCCAAACGCGTC